TCTCCTTCTCCCCTCCCCCGAGCGAGCGAGCGAGCCCGTTATGCCCCCAACTCCCTGCCTGGCATACCGGTATCCTGTCAGCCAAATAATATCCCTCAAATCAACATGCCAAGGGGCTCCTCACCGCCGTCTCTTTGCTTATCATCCGCGGAAGGGATTCTCGGGGCTCGAACAGGCCATATCCTCAGAGCAATCATTCATCCCTAATCCATATAATCCGAAAGCTTTGGCCTTCGCTTCAATTCATATAAGAAGCAGTCGACGTCGACCGGGTCTCCTGGAAAAAAAAAAAAAAGAAATCAAGACACTCAGCTCTTTCCACTTCGCTCTTCCACCAACAGTCATTCGTCACCATCATCAAGCACAGTCATTCCGGCAAGAAATTCATCTTACATCACCCATCATCATCATGGTCCCCAGTCGCGTGGATGATGACTTCGAGGTCAAAGAACCCAAGACCGTCTATGATATCAACATTCCATACCAGAGCCAGTCTGAAGATTATGAGCGCCGCACTCGCGATAGAACCGAGTTCCCCGAATACTTGCCTCACTGGGAGGCCGGTGAATTCTACCCCGCATTCCCCGAGTTCGAATATCATGATCCTGCGCTGCGAGCAGATCCACACATGCCGCACCTCTTGACGGCCGGCGTGACGGCCCAGCCAGTCACTCCGCGGATGGGGACCATCCTCACCGGCGTCAAGCTTGAAACGCTCTGTCAAGACGCCAAAGACGAGCTTGCGCTCCTGATATGCGAGCGGAAGTTCGTCGTCCTCCGAGAGCAGCTCGACTTCTTGCGCTCCGGGCCGCAATTCCAGAAAGACTTCATGTCGTATTTCGGCAAGCTCAGTCGCCAGCCGGTTTCGGGTGCCGTCAAGGGCCACCCCGAGTTCCACATCATCCACCGCGACGGCAACGAGAAGGACATTGCCAAGTTCTTCAAGCACAAGATGACGACGACGCTCTGGCACCACGACGTCTCCTACGAGCGACAGCCCCCCGGATACGTCATGTTGGGAATCCTCGCGTGCCCGGACATTGGCGGCGACACGGTCATTGCCGACATGGCCACCGCCTACCAGCGTCTCTCGCCCCTCTTCCAGGGCATGATCGACCAGCTCTCGGCCGTGCACACCTCGCGCAAGATGATTGGGCACGCCAGGGCCAGCAAGCTGCTCGTGCGATCCGACCCCGTCGACTCGGTCCACCCGATGGTCCGCGTGCACCCGGTGACGGGCGAGCGGGCCATCTTCTACAACCAGGAGTTTCCCGACGAGGTGCTGGGCCTGAAGGACATGGAGGCGGAGGCCATCACCAAGTTCCTGATTGATTCGGTGAAGAACGGCCACGACTTCCAGGCGAGGGTGCACTGGGAGAAGCACTCGGTGGTGATGTTTGACAACCGGACTACCCTGCGTAAGACGCCTCTTCCCCTCCACATGAAGAAGAAGAAGAAGAAGAAGAAGAAGAAGGAGAAGGAGAAATTCTATACACGAGCCCTCGCTAACTCTTCCTTCCAGACACGGGTACTGTAGACTACGACACGACAGCGCAAGCAAGACACCTCTTCCGCCTCGCCGCCATGACCGAGGTCCCGCTCTCGGTAGCAGAGAGCAAGACGATGCGCGGATAGGAGATGGAGAGCCTTATTTCTTATTATTCACACAAAACGGACTGGACGTGGGCGGAGTATCTAGGGGCGTTTTCTGTTGCAGCATTTGGTTATCCCTTTTTTCTTCCCCCACCACAAAGCGATGAGGAGAGCGCCCACGCGCTCAAATATCCTATCGTTCTTGTACAAATGATGTGTACTGGATATTGTGTACATATAACTATAAGTGTCTCAGTAGAGAGCATTTATCTCCAAACATAAATATGATACCATGATTAACTGAGCCGAGAATGGCCTGTAGTGCGCATACGCATGAGTAGTAAATGACTGACTGCCCTGCATTTGTTTTTCATTATATATCATTACATCATCATTACATCATGTGCCTGTAAAGTTTAAATCACTCCACTTTAAAGCCCCTGGGTTGCCCTGATGCCTGTGACGTTCGTCGTACCGGTATCTCATCTAATCTCATCTCAATGCAAACGCAAGCTGGAAAAAATAAACATGAAATGAATACGAAGCGACGCTTCTCTTCTCTTCTCTTCTCTCCTCTTCTCTCCTCTTCTCTTCTCTCCTCTCCTCCATCTTATCCATCCAACCATCGATTCATCCACGCCCTCCCCACCTGTTCATCTACCCACCTACCCACCTACCCACCTACCCACCTACCCACCTACCCTACTACCCCATCCCACCCCATCCCATCTTATCTCATCTCATCTCATCTCACCCCATTCATTCCCTTCTCCCTTTCTGCAGCTACTTACTCGTGCGTGTGCGCCAAGGCGAAAAAAACCGCCTCAAAGCAGTAGTAGGGTTGGCGGCCAGGACTCTAGCACTTCAGCGCACCGTGCGTTTTCCAAGATTTTTTTTTTCTTTCGCCTTGGCGGATGTGATAGACGATGTGGCACGGCGGCACGAGTCGGTAGCGAACCTTTCCATATATCCACCTATCCACCTATCCACCTAATCTACATATCCACATATCCACCTCATCCACATATCCACATATCCGCCTCATACACCTATCCACCAATCCACCTCATCCACCTATCTCTCTCCCTTGGATCTGGACCTGGAGTTGAACAGTCAGACCGCAAATCAAGAGAGAAAGAGTGAGAAAAGAGTGAAGAAAGAAAGAAAGAAAGGAAAAGGAAGAAGAAGAGGGACAGGGTGGGTAAGAAGAGGGAGAAAAAGGAAAAGCAGAAAAAGATAAAGACAAAGAAAGATAAAGAAGAATTAGTAAAAAACAAGAAGAAGAAAAAAGAAAAAAGAAGAAAAAAAAAAGGGGAAAAAAACCGAAAGAAGAAAAAGGGAAAGAAAAGAAAAAAAAACTTTTAAGCTTGATATAGAAAGAGAGAGAGAGAGAGAGAAATGCGTGAGGAATTCATTTCACTTCTCTTCTCAAGCACAAGCCCTAGCCCAAGCCAACTAATACCTAAGCCATCCCTTCTCATCTCCTCATACCCGCGCTCCATCGATCAAAGCCAAGGCAAAAGGAAAGGAGAGTGAGGGTAGACGAGAGCGAGGGCCCTCATCGCCCTCTGTCCAGAAGAAAGAGAAAGAGAAAGAGAAAGATGTTCGTTTCATACATACATACATCCCCATCCCGACTCACCCATCCCATCCCATCCCCTCCCTACCTAGCAAGCCTTGCACACAGCGTAGGCCTCCTCCTCGACTAGTATCACCGGATGAACGAATGGCTGCCTGATAGCCTGACTGATAGCCTGCCTGCCTGATAGCCTGCCTGACTAATAGCCTGCCTGACTGACTGAATGACTGCCTGCCTGCCTGCCTGCCTGACTGACTAATAGCCTGCCTGACTGACTCATAGCCGCGTCAGCAAATGCCAAGTAGGCATTCCCATTCTCAGCCTCAAAACACCAGCAGCCCGTCTGCCCTAATTTTTTAATTTTTTAA